CCTACCCTCAAATTTAAATTCCTTTAGGCAGGATTAGAGTAAAATAATCTACAAGGCCTTGGGCGTGGTCAAATACATCAATCGAAAGGGTTTGACCTCCTGAAACTAAAACTGTAATTCGATCTCAAATTGTTCAAGAGATGATGGAGCTATGAGCTATTTGAAACCAAAAAAAACACTCAGAGCCATTCTATGAGCTGCTATGCCATGGCTAAAAACAGCAAACTAATATACTGAAATGAGCATAAAACTAAATATGTAACACACTCTTGTTTAAAGGTAAAATCAGAGTACTAGGCATTGAATCTTTGAGAACTGCATCTACTTGAACACCAGGGAATTCCTGTTCAGTTCAGGTTTGTTACAAAGAACATTGTCAGGGTCTTATGTATATGAGTGGGCTGAGGATTGTTCTACAGTAGGTGTCTGTGACTTGTTGGCGATAAATTCAAACAATAAACAGGATAGCACACAATCCACTTGTTTTAAAATAATATATTCAAAACAAGTCAAACATGTATACAATAATTCTTTACGCTATAGGAAATCACAGTTTTATCTAAAACTAAATAATTCTCTTTTTTTGTCAAAAGTCCACTTAGGCTGATTCAATTACTTTAGAATCCAATTGACAAGACAAATTATTTTTCTCTATTCTTATCAGTGAATAATTCACTTACGTTACCCTGTGGGTTACCATAGTTGTATCTCGAACTCCAAATAATTCTTTTTCTTGTCAAAAGTCCACTTAGGCTGATTCAATTACTTTAGAATCCAATTGACAAAACAAACTATTTTTCTCTGCTTTTATCACAATAGTATCAGTGAATAATTCACTTATGCTATCCTGTGGGTTACCACAGTTGTATCCTGAACTTCAAATAATTGTCTTCTGTTTGTCAAAGTCCACACAGACGGGTTTAATTACTTAAGAATACCCTTTGACAAGACAAATTCTTCTTCTTATCTCTATTAAACTGTGAAACTCTAAAATATTGCACTTTATGGCTAAACACTCACACGCCATCTAACTTTGCTAACTAATTTTCTAGACTGAACTGCACTTTTTCTCTACTTTTTACTTTACTTCACTTTTCTTCTTTCTTAACTTGCACTCATGAGCCACCTATATATATATACTTTGTTCACTGAGGCCTGGAATGTTCGACAAACTATGCGAGCAATGATTCAACAATACTCAGTCAACGAGAAACATACTGAAGATTCAAGTAATGTGACATCAACAATATTAGTAAAGCCTAGACAACAATGTTAGTGCAAACACAACGTATGACTCTTTCTAAGTTACGTAACTAAACCTGTCATAACTATCACCCTTAAAATGATTAACTGTTAACTCTCTTGTTAGGAAAAACTAAGGTCAGTTTAGGTCAGTGGAAACACCATATGTAAACAACAACCACCAGGATTAGCACAATAGTTTAGAGCAGTTCAAATTAGAAGTTCATAAACATATATTTCAATTGATTCACCTCTTCAAGGCTGGAATGATGCGATCCTCATAAGCTGAAAAACTATTGGGTGGTGATTTTCTGTGATGGTCAGAAGGTTCAGGTGGTGGAGTAGGTGGTTTAGGTTTTGGTGCCGGTGGGGTTTTCACAGTCTCCAGTTTTGGTAGTTTTAATTCTGATAAAAAAAATAAAGATACTTCCTACACTTCAAACTTTTAAAGAAAAGTATCATTCAAACAGTTTCCATTTTAAACTGTTTATCCATATTCTACTTATGATGAAAAAAATCACATGGTATATGAGAAAGACGTCTATATGACTGCACCGTTAAAAGAGATAATGCAAAGTGGGTATAACATAAGTTAAACCCACTCTTTGGTTCTCTTGATTCTTCTATACAAAATATTTTTTTAAATTTTACTTGCAACAGATTACATTATTGGCTAAAGATTCCAATAATGACAGTTGAAAAAAAAAAGGCATGATAAAAACAAAAGGGAAGAGGTTTAAAACAAACCAAATAAACTTCAATATCTAGAAGACTAGGTATACATAATTCCTTAAACAGATCAAATTTATTTATCTATCTAAAAATCTAACATTACAGTTATATTAATTTTTTTTTATATTTAAATGAGATATAAGCAACATTTCAATATTTAACATGAATTTTTAAATTCTAAATAAATGCACATATAAAATGACCAATATATATTGATAACCAGCTGTATGTGAGCCACTCTCAAAGAAAATAGCTGAAATCAGATAATAAAGGTACAACTCACCTCCTCGTGACATGTCGAGGTTAGGATTATACTGCAAAACATACAGACATAGAATTATGTTTATATATATATTATTAGAATATATTTAAATAAGAGTGTTTCAGATCACAGGATTCATTACAACAGAAAAACAGTAAAAAAATTAATCGTCCTAAATTCAATAGGTATTTCTGTAAATCAGTTCTTGAACTTTGTAATAAGCAGTAAATAAATATATATATATATACAGTACTATGATTACAAGAACCTCACACAATTTGGCATGTAATCCAAGTTCACCACATCACTTATTTCAAATTTCCATGCTTGAAGTTAGGAGTAAGAATTCATTCATTAACAGAGGTTTTGAATTAGGAAAAAACAATTTTTTGAAATTCTATATTCACACCATTTATTTATGAAACTTTAAAAAGAAATCTATCAGCTGAAATATTCTATCTCAAGCACTTAACCTTACATTAACATATTCTTCTTTATATCATGGGATATGTTTGGGTATTTAAAAATATTTGTATAAATATGCCTATACTGCTTAAAAAAACACCCTTAAAATGTAGACCTCAATGTGGCCTGTTCCAATGAATCTTAATGGGGGTGCACTTAGGTGTTAGTCTTTGTGCATGTATCAAAACTAAGATTTTACCCCATCCATTTCCAGCAAGTCTGGTAGTCCAAGTCTTTCATAAGCCTGCAATCGGTACTCATCGATTTCTTTCTTCTTTGCACGAGCCTTATCAAAATCTTCTACTTCAACTGCCATTTGTTTTTCAATAGTAAACTTTCCCAGTTTTTCTCCGACCTAGAAATTCAACAAAAGCAATATTTATTGATACATTTAGCACTTCATAATCTATATATAAAACTAATTAACTATATCAACTTCAGTGACATTGGTTGACCAATTTATATATATAAAAAATAATTATTTAATACAAAAAATCAACCAATTCAGTTTCTAAAGTATTTGTACACTTGGTATTTTCAACCTGAATAGTAATTTATGCAAAATGTGGGCTAAATAGCCCAGTCAGAAACCAGTAGGGTTCAGACACAGCGGTACCCAATTTAGAGACTGACCAGAGAAAGAGCTAACACTGAACATCACCTGCTACCTACACAGCAAATCTGTCAGTGTTGTGATGCTCCAACATCACCTGCTGCGTACACAGCAAATGTTAATAAAACAGCAGAACTGACTGTCAGTGTTGTGATGCTCCAACATCACCTGCTACCTACACAGCAAATCTGTCAGTGTTGTGATGCTCCAACATCACCTGCTGCATACACAGCAAATGTTAATAAAACAGCAGAACTGACTGTCAGTGTTGAGATGCTCCAACATCACCTGCTGCGTACACAGCAAATGTTAATAAAACAGCAGAACTGACTGTCAGTGTTGTGATGCTCTAACATCACCTGCTGCATACACAGTAAATCTTAATAAAACAGCAGAACTGACTGTCAGTGTTGTGATGCTCCAACATCACCTGCTGCGTACACAGTAAATCTTAATAAAACAGCAGAACTGACTGTCAGTGTTGTGATGCTCCAACATCACCTGCTGCATACACAGTAAATATTAATAAAACAGCAGAACTGATTGTCAGTGTTGTGATGCTCCAACATCACCTGCTGCGTACACAGCAAATGTTAATAAAACAGCAGAACTGACTGTCAGTGTTGTGATGCTCCAACATCACCTGCTACGTACACAGCAAATCTTAATAAAACAGCAGAACTGACTGTCAGTGTTGTAATGCTCCCATAACTAAAAATGTAGAGAATGTTTAGTAGCATATCATGACTCAAAGTGTTGACGTTCTGGTCCTCAGCCCATCAGGCTAATGACCAGGTCATGTTCGACCAATTTGTACATCCATTAATAACTAACACATAAAGTGACTTTAACATGTACAGCTGCATGTAAATTAAGAACCATGTCAAGGACTAAAAGAAACTGCAGTAATAATAACAACAAAACAAAAAAACGAATTAATTTTCACCTCTTTTAATTCTTTCATTGCATTCTTCAGTTTCTTTGCATACACAAATCTTTCTTCTGGAAAGAAAAATTAGAAGAAAATGGTTGTTTTTTTTCTACTGATACATTCCAGACAGTTCCACGATCACAACTGTTGTATTTAATATCTGTATATACTTAGCATTTGTCTGACTTCAATGTTTGCGTTAAAGGTGATCAACGTATTTTCTCATCATTATATCACGTTAAAATTTTTTTAAAGAAGATATCATTTAATTACTCAGTTAATTTTTAATGTTGATGGAGAGAAGTAACTCTGTGCAATAATTTTTTTTTTATTGCCCTACATTTCACTTAGTGTTATTTTAAATATTCTTAAATAAAACATTTTGAATGTAATATTTATCTCTTCAGTATTCTTTAACAAGACACTGTCATGTGCAACAATTCTTTAACAAGACATTGTTTTATTCATCAGTTAATTATTCTGTGTTATTTAACTAAACAATTTAATTTGCAACAATGACTTCAATATTCTTTAATAAAGGAGTTTTTACAACAGTTAACTACTGTGCATTTTTAACAATATGTTACAATAATAGTTATTCAACAATAATTATTCAATATTCTCTAATAAAACACTATTTTACATACCAGTTAATAATGCAGATTTTAACAATACACATTTTAAGAAAACACCAGTGCCTGTGTAATTCAATCATGAACGGTTCTATAATAAATCATGTTTAAAATTTTCAGTAAATAATTATTATAATCATGAGATTGGGAAAGAGGAGCAAAAGCCTCCAGAGATCCAGAGTTCCCAGCCAGGTCTGGGGCAGAAACTATAGGAGTAAAGAGGGCAAAGCCTCTTGAGGCTCTTGCATTTTGAACTAATTAGAAAAAAAATTAATGGCTCAAAATTGAAAAAAATACATATATTTCCAGTTTCCGATAGCTATTAATATTTCAACTGTTTTCATTTTCAGTTAGGTCTCAAAAAACGATCTTTTACAACACTGTTAATTTCATTTGTTCTAGCCTCATCATTTGTTTCAATAATTTTTATTTTACAAATATAGCAGATGGCTGGATGCTTGCATTGTTACAGTAGGGGTAGGAAGCATGTGTTCAAAGTGACAAGTGGAGAAAACTCTTTATGGTGTCAATGGTTGTAATTTTTGCCATAAAGAGTTTTCTCCTCTTGTCACTTTGAACACATGCTTCCTACCCCTACTGTAACAATGCAAGCATCCAGCCATTTGCTATATTTGTAAAAATTTCGTTGGTTGGATATCGTTATACATATAGGAAATCAAATTTCATTTTATTGACACAAACAACAATCTTACATTCTGACCTTTGACCGACTCTAAATGTGTACATTTGGAAGGTATAAAACGATCCAGATTTGTCCCACAGTCCACCGATCGATCAGTGGGTCGATGTAATCTACACTACTAAACCGCCACCCAAAACTTTTCTCATCAATTTCACATAAATCATGAGATCATCGTAGAAATGGTCAATAGATGCTATTCTGCAGACAGGCAAAAAATTCTCATACCTGATATTATGTCCAGGAAAATGTAAATTGTCTCCAACTCACCAGAAATTGCTTTTTGCTTCTTTACTTCTAGTTTTCGTAGTAATGTCACTACTTCTCCTTCAACGTACAGTGATACACTGAGATCGTCCAAAGGTGATATGACGTCACTTGTAACGGTAAATAAATCACATTTCCTTATTATTATAAAACATTAGAGTTTGAAATATAAAAACAAAAACTGTGAAATATAATTATAATAAACTATACAAGAAGAAGAAGAGTTGGTTAAACCTAACATTTTATTCACGAATAATTATATTATTACATTTTTAAGATGCTTATTTCGATAGCAACGTATCAGAAAAATAGGATTCATTTTATAAATAGTTTTTGATAACCTTAATGCAGAATTTAGGGGTGTCTTGTAATGACTATTGCTTGGTCATGTAAGAAAAAAACACTTAACTCATAAATTTGTTAATTTAATGTTTATCCACTGTCAGTCAAATACTTATTTCAAACAACGAGGAACAAGTTAGTCTTACAGTCTACCAATTATGTAACATAATATAAAGACTAGATCATATAATATTGATCTACTAAGTGCTATGTTCCATTTCATTCTAAACATAACTCGGAAAAAGACGAGCAAATATAGTGTTTGAATGAAAATGAAGTAAAGTAATGACTTACTTTTTTATCACATTTTCTTTATCTTTCTAAAGAGAAAAAAAAACATCAGCCATATGTGAGTGCTATAAAATTTCTATATCATGATATTCTATTGTTAAAATTGTAAGTTCAGTTCATTTAAGTAAATTTCCTGATAAGGACAACACAAAAAAGCATGTTTTTTAACTTAGCTTTCTTAATTAAAAATTTTCAATATTGAAATTAATTATATAAAATATTTAAAAAAAAAGTCAATATTTCTGGTTTACTTACGTTACTTTCTTTAACTTTAAGAGGGTCTGTGACTAGATTAACGCAAGATTGTATAGATTTAACAGTAGAAGGTATGTCTTTGGAATAGAATAATACAAAACAACAGATGAACTTTTTTTTAATTCAAGAAGCTTCTTCCTTTCTCTCCTCCCAGACTCTTTGTTCAGTATATAATTGGTATTCTGTGGTAAATGCTATTAAGTGAGATAAACAGGGAATTATTTCATCTTCAACAGAGCTTAGCTAACTGCTTGTGTGCATGTTATTAATGGCGTCCACGGTCACTGACGAGGAGTGGAATTCTCCGAAACTAGTCTGGCTCACACCTCCAATGAAAGAATGGACCATTCCAAGCTTTTACTTGTTGTTAAACAAATGTTTAAACAACTTGATTTATTCAATCATGTTATTAATACTTACAAAAATGTTTGGACTCTCCGATTCTTTTGCTATCATCTCTTCCCCAATAATATTGATAGCAATAACTCCAATCTAAAATTAAAAATACAAATAATTAAATTCAAAAAGTATTATGTTTATTCTATCGACTTCAAAAATGATGAAATATTCATAAAATAATGTCTGACTGAAGATACTTGAGCTCAGAATTTGTTTCCAAAGAGCCTTGGACCTAATTTCTAGTCAATTTTTAAAACAAATTTCTCAAGAAATTATCATTAGTTGGAAACTCTAAGTTAATATCTTCAGTAAAAATACTGTTGTAATGGTTTCTTGCATTATTCGGGTTCCTTTTTATTATTCAGTAAAAATACTGTTGTAATGGTTTCTGGCATTTTTGGGTTCTTTTTTTATTATTCAGTAAACATACTGTTGTAATTGTTCATGGCATTGTTCAGGTTCGTTTTTATCATTCAGTAAAAATACCATTGTAATGGTTTCTGGCATTGTTTGAGTTCTTTTTTTTATTATTCAGTAAACATATTGTTGTAATTGTTCATGGCATTGTTCGAGTTCTTTTTTATCATTCAGTAAAATTATTGTTGTAATGGTTTCTGGCATTGTTTGGGTTCTTTTTTTATCATTCAGTAAAAATACTGTTGTAATGGTTTCTGGCATTGTTTGGGTTCTTTTTTTTATTATTCAGTAAACATATTGTTGTAATTGTTCATGGCATTGTTCGAGTTATTTTTTATCATTCAGTAAAAATACTGTTGTAATGGTTTCTGACATTGTTTGGGTTCTTTTTTTATCATGCAGTAAACATATTGTTGTAATTGTTCATGGCATTGTTCAAGTTCTTTCTTATCATTCAGTAAAAATACTGTTGTAATGGTTTCTGGCATTGTTTGGGTTCTTTTTTTTTATTATGCAGTAAAAATAATGCAAAGTTCAATACACTTGTAAAAAAATGTAAAGTTCTACAAGATATTGTGATTGGATATAAATCAATAGATAAAAGTAAACAATAAACAGTAGTTGTTCAAATAATTTAATCACTAGTCAACAATGAGCCAAGTAATGAGTCATTATAATGTAGATGCCAGCCAATGATAACTACACAATCACGTACTTGTTAAATTTCCATTGTATCAAATCAGTAGTTGATCAACAACACTGTAACGGATCCACTAACTATTTCGTTTACTAAATAACACACTAATATTACAGTAGTTTTCCCAAAATATCTAAAAACTTTATGATATCACGTGTATGTCATATCAAATGTACAAGTTCAGAAAATTTGTAAAAACCTCACATCACCCTATTCTATGTCATGTCAAAAACCCCTCTAGTGAACAATACTAAAAAATTTCTAGAAACTACACATCACCAGTGGAGGATCCAGGATTTTGAAAACAGATAGGTGTGATGATTCTGAATGTAAACGAAGAGTTTTCGGGACTTCTTTGGTAGGAGTTAAATGGGTTATTTAGATTTGTTATAATGGTTGCTAGATGTTTTTATTGCTTTTTTATTTTTTAAAAATTTAATATGAAATACCACTACATTCTTCCCCCCCTCTAAGATATAATTTTTGCAATTATTTTGATTTTATTTTCAAAATGGGGGGGTGGGGTGTGCCTAGCCTGTATTCACCCTATACTATGTCATGTCAAAACTCCCTCTAGCAAACAATACTAAATGTTTGTTTACGCACAAAGCTACACAATTGGCTATTTGTGCTGTGCCCAATACAGATATTGAAATCCAATGTTTAACATTATATTTTTATACTGGTGAAATATTTTCTTAAACCTTCAAGATGGGTCTAGTTCTCAAGCCATGCTTATCTTGTAATGTGAAATTTCCCACTGGCCAAACAACAATACAAACATCTATATCAATAACATAGCTTACAACCCTACAACAATGTGGTCAATGATAGGTCAAGTAATATATAAAATAGCAATAACTGATCACATTATTGCACAGAAGAAGTCATATGTGGGTCAAAACAATATATATGCACTGGCCAGTGTTATAAATGGATCACAGTGTTAGAGACCAATTTATTTTGGGGTCATATAATGTTAACACTAGTCAACAGTGGTTCAGATTAACATAAATATGTATCCAAATGGTTTAGTGAGTGTTAGGTTATGTGTGTAAATACTTACAAGTTACAGTCGGGTAGGACTTGTGTAACATAAATATGTATCCTGAAGGTATAGCGAGTGTTAGGTTATGTGTATAAATACTTACAAGTTACAGTTGGGTAGGACTTGTGTAACATAAATATGTATCCTAAAGGTATAGCGATATATCCTAAAGGTATAGTAAAGGAATGTGTTGATGTACCTGAATGTTTTCTCAGCATAGTTTCTCTAAATAGGAATTTAACTATCCTATATTAATTTCCATTGTGTATTCGTGAATTTGATTGTTGAACTATACAAGCAATATAACAGCATATATAAGTGATATTAATTTGTTGATTGTAGACATACACTCATGGCATGGATTGCAAGAATGTAATATATATATTGTTGATTAAACATTAGTGAACAAAATAACACTTATTTTTTTATGGGATTGAACCTTAAAGAATCATGCTCAAGATACAGAAAGTTATATTATTTCAACCATTATTGAGTTATTTATATTCAGCTCACTATTACCTTGTGATTATATTATTCTAATCCACTAATGACTAGAATTTACATTAATCTGAACCACTGTTGACCAGTATATACATACGACAAGTCCTACCTGACTGTAGGTGTTGAATCTATTAACATGGTTCTGATGAAACACTAGTTTGATGTACAGAGCTGCTGAGTCCAAGAGTGCAGACTTTAGTTCTCTGGCCTTGTAGTCAGTTTCAACATTTTCACTAAGAGACATCTGTCTAATGAAGTACAATAAAACAGGTGATATGTGTAAAGTAACATCATAAAATTTCTTATAAATAAAACAATAACACACGCACATCCTCAGATGTTAGTGTTTATGTATACATCACATGAAGTCGATTTTAATCTGACCGACAGTTAACACTTTGTACGTGATTAAAAACAAAGAGCTTGTGGCTTTTCTAGTAAATATGAAAACATGCCTCACTCATCAAATTTGTATGGATATGATAAAGCAAAAATCCAGCTGATGAATACAGCAAAGTAATCTTACTTGTTAAAGTAGCTGGTCTGGTAAAAAAACCCAGTGGCACATCAGTATGTCTGCAGATTTATACTGCTAGAAACCGGGTCTTTCGATACCCGTGGTGGGCAGATAGCCCTCTGTGTAGCTTTGTGCTTAATAACAAACAATAACAACAACAACAACAGTCTGGTAAAAGAAATATGTTTAAAGTTTAAATAAAATATGTTTCCAAGTATATAATATTCCTGACCTAACTTAGCATTCTAAGTATTAAGACCTTGCCAAGCTGACTTAACTAGTAGAAACTTCATTGGAACAAAAACTTTGATCACCATTACTGTTTTTCTAACTTATATTGTACTTACACATATACTGTTTTCTCATTCAGATAAGAATAATAACCACAATAACTAGAGAAACGTCAGGAAATGTATCAACGGGTTAAATCTGAATCCTCTATCTCTGACCAAAGACTAAGCTCAAAACTGAATCAAACTATAAGTCCACTTACTGCAAGTTAAACTAGTGTTAACTTTGCACTCAAATTCAAGCAAAAATAATGCTCAACTCATTAATACAAACATACAAAGTTGAACAAGTCTTACGAGTTTCACCAGATACATAAAAGGGGTCTAAAGTTTAAATAAGACAAGTTAACACTTTAAAAATATATCACCCTTCACCACTGCATCGAATCCCTTCTTACAGGAGCAAACCCAGCTTTTTATGCAATAACTAAATATACTGATAAAGTCAACTTTGTACATTAATGCACTCAACATGCAAGATCTGTATACAATGGGAGTTGAGCTCTTAGGATTGGTTGTCACTAACCCTTATCCCATTCCCCCAACAAGAAAGAGAGCTTTCAATTTGTGGATGTCACGTACTATCTTCCATGTAAAAAAGTTGGTTAACTGCTAATCAGTGACTTGTGTGTGCTTACATTGCAAAACAGGGAAAGTTAACGTGCTACTTGAGTGACTTTCTGTGCCCAAACTCAGGGTATGCTATACTCTCCTGTATAGGATTCTCCTACTAACTTTATAAATATACCTGTCAAAGCTATACAACATACAAGAAAGAATCATACACTACTTAACACTAGGAATAAAAGACTTTATAAGGCCAAATAAAATAAAATATATACGTTTTAGCGCCTCCGTACGCTTCCTTTTTTTTTTTTTTTGTCAGCCGCCTTTTGGTGATTTTTTTCCCTTGTCTTAATTATCGTTTTTCGATCATATAAAGAAACAAAGAAGACTTCTGAACAAAAATGAGATGGAAACAGTTGACTTATTTGTCATAAATTCTGTATCTTTTTGATGAAAAAATGAAAAAAACAAGACTTCTGTTTAACATAGTCCCTTTGAAAACAAGTACTTGGCCTAATTATCAATTTTTAGTATGTCATTTAAACAATCTACGTTTCGCTTTACGTCTTCAGGAGCATTCCACTAAAATACAAACCGTAACTACAAAATTACTAGTATTAATATGTCTATTACACTCCAATGTAACTTACATAAATTAAATAAACATACACTAATTACAAAGACACACAAAAAAGAAAAACACTCGAAACAGTATTTGTCAGTGACAATACTAAATACTGGTGAACTTCTAATGGTACTGTATTCCCATTACATAACAACATTCTAGCATGCCATTTTTCTAGCCTCTAATGAAAAACAAGATGAGTTGTTATTAAAGAATCTCTTGCCATCAAGACAATTTAATGTCCAGGATTCTTCAGTTTTAACTCGATCCTAAGAGGGGATAACGAAAACAATTTTAATCAGTAAAATGAACCCCGAGATACACAAATTTATTTATTGAAAGTAACTTCGTTTTATTAAATATACATGTTTATTTTTTATTTCATGTATATTGATTTAGCTCTCATATCAAGGTCGGTGAATTACAATAGTAAAACTTGGCTAATTAGCTGGTTTTGAGAGGCGCGTAGCGTGAAAGCGACAAAGATGTTACCAGGAGACAAACACAAACAAAAATACACACGGTAAACGTAGTTAAAAGTGTACCGGTGGAACAGCACTAGGTTTACGGATACAACGTTCAAATTCAGGGATCGATTCCCCACGGTGAACAGAGCAGATAACCCAATGTGGTTTTGCTCTAAAACAAACAAAAAGTACAGTTAAAAATCGTTTCGCTGTGGGCTGGGGATAACAGCCCTTCAAGTTCACGTCGCCCTATTAACTTAGTGGTCCCATTTATAGTATTAGTTTCTCCAAAATTTGTGCCACCAGAGTATGCGAATTGAGGATCTGGTTAATACTGATTCCCAAACGAAACACAAGAACCATTTTTGAGCTTTTGAAAAGAAAGTTAATTTTTCGCAAACAAGGCACGGGAAAAAATGTCTTCTTTCGAAGATGATTTCCAAGTTCGGGGGGAGAGAGGTGTTAAAATGTTATATAATATATATAAAAGAAAAGAAATTAGTGATCCCCATTTTTATTTATTTATCACCAATAGAATTGGTTTCAAACTGTAAAACACTGCCTTATGAAGCTGAATAAAAACAGAATGGTTAGAACTCTAAATCCTTATATTAAGACGTACAGTACAACTCATACAGTTTGGCCACTCCTGTTTGTTTGTTGATTAATTAAGCACAAAGCTACACCATGCTGTGTCCACTACGAGTATCGAAACCCGGTTTTTAGCGACTTGAGCTGAACTGAACCACTTGGGGGTACGAACACAGATATGCGCAGAGTTAATTGAAATCTAGTTAAAATCTGATCAATTAAAAAAAGGGGTTACGTTTTCTTGAAATAGCATAAAAACTTTAACATTTTCACGCATAATTGAATAAAGACCAACGACCATTTTAAAGTGAATATTTGGTCATTATAACTAGTAATACATCGAAAAGTTTAGTATCATTCCTGTCCTCGTGCATCATATGTGTAATCGTGCAAGAACCGGTTAGATAAAGATTATTGTTTGTTTGTTTGTTTAGAATTTGGCGCAAAGCTACACGAGGGCTATCTGCGCTAGCCGTCCCTAATTTAGCAGTGAAAGACTAGAGGGAAGGTAGCTAGTCATCACCACCCACCGCCAACTCTTGATCTACTACTTTTACCAACAAATAGTGGGATTAACCGTCACATTATAACGCCCCCACGAACCCGCGACCCTCAGATTGCGAGTCGAGCACCCTAACCAACCACCTGGCCATGCCGGGCAAATAAAGATTATGAAGTAATCAAAATACAAAATATGCTTACCCTACATTTGCCCATTTTACGTTTCGAGGAACCTTTGGTTTTCGTTCAGATCTTATTTTCGGCTCATCTGGTACATCTTCTTCACCTTTTGGTAGTGTACCGAAGAGTAAGTCTATTTTGGAGGCTATTTGAAAAATAAGTCGGAAAAAATCTAAAATGTCAGAATTACTCTACTTGTAATTAAAAATAAAATAAAAAACTAATTCTGAGAGAACAAAAATCCATTCTAATTACTGGCGTGTTTCTATTCCACTAAGAATTTTAAACAGTTCTTGGCTATTCTAAATATTGGTGAGCTTTTAATTCCGCTAACAATGTGAAACAGTTTTTGAGCTATTCTAAATACTGGTGAGCTTTTAATTCCGCTAACAATGTTCAACAACTAGTAAAATTCCGCTAACAATGTTCAACAACTAGTAAAATTTTCTAAATACTGACGAGCTTCTAATTCCGCTAACAATGTGAAACAGTTTTTGGGCTGTTCTAAATACTGGTGAGCTTTTAATTCCGCTAACAATGTTCAACAACTAGTAAAATTTTCTAAATACTGACGAGCTTCTAATTCCGCTAACAATGTGAAACAGTTTTTGAGCTATTCTAAATACTGGTGAGCCTGTTTCACATTGTTAGCGGAATTAGAAGCTCGTCAGTATTTAGAATTTTCGAGCTATTCTAAATACTGACGAGCTTCTAATTCCGCTAACAATGTGAAACAGTTTTTGAGCTATTCTAAATACTGACGAGCTTTTAATTCCGCTAACAATGTTCAACAACTAGTAAAATTTTCTAAATACTGACGAGCTTCCAAAATATTGAATTTTCTGCTGGGGCTGATAAAGTTACGACGTAACTGAAAATATGATCAGTTGCCAAAAGTAACCCTGTTAAAAGTTGAATAAGAAATCAGAACTTTTTTTGTTCAAATTAATGTTTTAAATAATAATAAACTTCGTGAATCGAGTAAAATTTGCTTAAAATGGCAATTTAGTACTCTGACTATATAGGAGTTGTTGACTATAATTAACCAATAAAAAACGTGTAAACAAATTCTTTATAAATGGTGTCATACGTTTTAATGTACTGAACACGATAATCGACGTTTATTTTAAACTCCAAATTAAACAGCATAACAACTACGTTCTTGATAATTATTGTGATTGAACTATATTAACACAATGATATTTCACACATCTTTTAGACATTGATAGTTAAGCCTAATATATTTATTCGTTTCAGTATTATTTGCTCGCTGTTGACAAGAGTAACGCATCACATATTTGACTGGGTGACGTTATTCGTTTTTACGACGACACATGTTCCACTTGATATGCTATGAAAAAGGGTTCACTACTCCTGGTATGCCTTGTATAACTGCATGATAAAAACTAGTTGTTTTATATTATTACACGACATAACCACTGATAAACTCATCTAGTTTACACAGTATAACTCAAAACTATAAAAAAACATATAACACATAGATAGATAGATATTCTAAAACACACATAAAAAAAGTTTTCGTTTTCAAAGTCAAAAATTAAAAGCACACACACACTCTAGTTTAATAACGTCAATATAAGTATGCTATACACACTTGGCTTTTTGCACGTCAGTTTATTAAAATAAATAAACATTAATATTTACCAATAAGGTACTGATGGGAGAGGATTTGTAACTTGTAAATCTTAGTTTTTGTTTCGAGCTTAAGAACCAGTTCTTGAGGATAATGGGGATACCTAAATACAACAAAAAGGAATTCAGACAAAAAATAGTTATCGGTCAACAGATATGATTTTCAACACAAATCAAAGAATTATTGTATTAATTTAAAGTTTTTTTTGCCAAAAGAAGAATATACGTTTGTTTGCTTAACATGTAACTTATATATACTAAATAAGTTAAAAGAACGAACTCTGACTGCAGAATGTATCTTTATTCTTCTGTATTTCGCTTTAGAATGTACTCGGAGCCGTTTCGTAACCCAGAAAAAATTTAATTAGGCTAAGCTTGTTATTAGGCGCAAAGCTACTCAATGGGCTATCTGTGTATTTCCGTTCTCTTGACGAAAGTTATATATAGTTTAAATTTGTCCAAAATACCGTGAGGCAAATTACATAAGTGTTTAAAGATTGCTGTAACATATTTTTCAGCCCTAATTGTATATTCTTTGACGAGTACGTATTTTACTTGGTTCTGAAAGCTGCTCGTTCGTCACCACATAGTTAATATTATAATTCCACGGGCCTCTTTGATTAGTGGACCCGTAACTACGCTGTTGCTGCCATGTCAGTATGTCACTGGCATCAGGCCGCTTTTTAGCAAGTTGAATGTAGTGCCTTAGACCTTGCGCAATATTAGTGATGAGCCCTTTATAGAAAGTTAAATGTGTTTGTTTGTAATTAAACACAAAACTACACAATGGGCTATCTGTACTCTGCCCACCACTTACTTTTTAGTAAGTTTCATGTCAGATTGAAGAAATATATTACCAAACGAAAGAGGTTATAAATATAAAATCACAACGCCACGATCGGCAGTTTTTTGCACCACTAGATTTAATTTTACGGAACTATGAAATACAATTGCATCCGATGACGCCTATGGTTAATCTTCATAAAAACTATTTCTGCTTTAGTACAGGGCAGGTACTTTTTATCTGTTGTTTGTTTAACCAGTTGAGTATACATCAGCTCTAGTGTTAATTAGTTTGATAATTATTCAAATCAATTAATTCTTTACTGTTCAAATACGGCTTTTTATCAGAATATTCTAAAATAATGGAACTATCTACCTTATTTATTGTATGGTGTTACTTAATCAAATACAATGCTACCATATTTAGTCTTAGTGTTTTCAATGTAAACGGCGATATACGAGATAAACAGACAGATCAGATCCACTCCTGCTGTGGAACTGTTGCCCAGGGGGAGGGCAACCAGTTAGAAGCACTCAACGCCTACATGACTACTATTAACTGGTTAGCGGGATTTACAGGCACAGTCATAACGCAGAGCGTGTTCAGCAGCATATCGCGGCCCGAACCTTGGCCCTTCCAATCCGAAGTCTAGCCCCAGTTTAGTAACACTAGCACGAAATGTTACAGAGGGAATTAATAACCTGGTCTGCAATGAAAACAAATCATTGAGTCTTATTTTGAAATTAACGAATATGTAAAAATAATAAATGCTTTTGTCTTTCCAAAGAACAATTAAAATTGATGCGATAAATTTAGGAGTCATACGTAAAAGGCACCAGTGTACATATTCCAAACTAGGTTGACTGAAGTATTTTATTTTTTCAAGTTAAACAGGTGGTATAAATTATAACACTGCAAATAATTTTGAAAATTAATCACTCAAAGTTTTTCATTCTGCAATTAAAACCAACAGTTCAGATAATTCTAAACCAGAACATTTATCAATTAAAAAAATGAGAGAAAATCTAAAACCGATTATTTTCTCCCTCCTAAATATTTAAAATGAAGGAAATTACATTATTACAAAAATAAAGGCAACTTAGTCTGAAAAACCTAATCATTAGTGTTACGTAAGCGTAAATATGTTTTTACCGTTTGGACTGCCATCCTTTAGTTGTTGGGTCATGTTCGTTAAGTTCGGCTGCCAGGTAATTTTCATCTTCTCCGGACACCTGGACCACTCTGAAGTCTACTTTGTGTGGCATTTGTTCAAAAAAATTATATTAAAAACTGGTGAAAAACACAGGAAGTTAAGAAAATCTGACAAGCAACGCATTTGACGTACATGCTAGCCGATGACAAACTTCATGTTTTCCCTCCGTTATCCCCTAACGACCAAAATCCTCGTACCACGAGCTAACGATTGCCATGGCGACGACGTAACCGCAACAATGTGTTGTTTGATTTTTAGCACATCGATAGTATTCAGGAATATGTTTATAGTTGATTTTTTTTAACACGTTCTTCTAAAATACCATTTTCACTTCGGATTTCATGAACAAAACCAATTGATATCAGCTCATTTTAAAGTCAATCGATATCCCCAAGGTCTGAACTACATAAAAATGTTCACGCAGCGTATACAGATTTTTAAATATGTAAACACCGTCTACGTAGTACATTCGAGTATCGTAAATAAAAGAATGGTCGAAAATTTATAGGTTTAAGGGTTCTGATAAATTTAGGATGACAGATCGTCGTCAACAAAATTTTGTACACTTTTTTGTGCTTAGATTTTTTTTATTATCATTAAAACTTATCTTTTAATTCTAATAAATAGTTTTTTTCAAGTTATTAGTAAACTACTATTAAGGTATATAAAACAAGCCAAAAAATTAGAGGCTATTTCTAACGTTTACATTCTGTTGGTGTACTTAGAAATGTAAATATAGTAAGCAACTTGTGTGTTTGCAATTAGAGTACTTGTCAAACACGATTATCTACAGAAACATTGAATACCCGGGTGTAATATGAACATCGAACTAACACTTAATAAACTACTATTTTTATTCAGGTGATTATTCATTTGTTAGAGGGAGTTAATGAGGTCAAAAATGATTCAGTTCTATTCTGTCGCTTAAACCTTCAACGAGATATTTGTGTATGAAAAATATACTGAACGAATTAATAATAATAAAAAATTCCTACACGTAACAATGCCACGAAAACAAAATTTTAAGAACAACATACATCGTAAACAGTGTTAAGCTGATGACAAATCAATTTGTGTAGTTTAATTTTTGATTGATGTTAACCTTATATATTCATTACTTGGGGTGTACTATTAATCAGCAATTACAAGTTAATGGGTATGTTACCATACAGTTTCCATGGCAAGGACAGAAATATATTAAATATATATTTGGAAAGAATGAATTTAAATCACGAGGCATCCATGTATACAAAGTAAACGTTTGATTCACGTCACACAGAAAAAGTAACAATAAAAAAAAATAAAAAGAACAGCACATTTACCCGCAAACTCTGTTTACCCCATTTGCTTATATGGTTGATTAGAAACCGATAGACATACACGTTTATTTTAATACTTACGAAACCAAATACTCACTATACAGACATGCTGTAAAATTCAGTGATTGAGTGTGTAGCCACTAAAGAAATAATAAACAAAAGGTATACCTATATATATTTCAACTTAAGTTCACTGTATATGGATGAGAAATTTTATTTCACGTAATTTTTTTCTATTTATATGGTTTATTCCTGATGCATGTTTCTCTCCCACACACACACACAAGTGACACTGTTAATCATTAAATAGCTTACTGAACGAGAAAAGTTGGTTTCTTGAAAGTTGTAGAAACTGGATTTGATCAGATAACTAACTTTCTGTGAAGTCAAGCCGTTTGCTCACTACACACCTTGGAAATAGCCAATCTTTGTGAACTGTGCTATAATCTTTGCTCGAAACAGCTGTTGCCAGTAAACTTCAAGCTAAGAGTCTCATGCCAACACACTGTCTTTTAGAAAATCAAGAACTTGTGGCATACTAGTAACAGAAATTAAAAAAGTAAAATAAAATCCTTAAAGTATCACATTCATATGAAAGGCTGTCATAGCAACTACTAATAAACATAAAATTCTAATTAAAAGCAGGTGATTTTATCTAAAGTAATTCTTATTTAAAAGAGCTTCTATCGACTTCATTCCCAAGTGCAGAATGTGAAAATGTACAATTACTTTGATCTTGTTAAACCAATCAGATTGTAATGTCTGATGTACTCAGAAAATATTATCAAATAAAACTCTTAAAAATAAAAGCTAACATGTCAACAATTAAGGCACAATTTCAAAATTGTATCAAGCAGTCATAGTTTTCTGGTAAAATGTATACATTCAACAATCGAAAAAGTGATCAAATATACTGAACACTTGTCAAGAATGATCACTTCTTCATCATTTTTTTTTTTGGTCAGTCTGTAGTGATATTTCACTGGTACACAAACCCAACCTCACAAATGGAAATTGTGACTGGGCCAGATGATATTTTAAAAGGGTCACTAAAATACTTAACTCAGGCCTTGTGTTTAAAGAACTCAAGCATCACACTGTGAAGGATCACATGGTTTTTATCAAGTGGAGATAATTCAAAATACATAATATTGAAAAAAAACAAATATTTATATAAATAATATAGGCTTGATTTATCTTTAAAACAGGTTATTAACCAAACGATAAATATAGTACTGTAGGTCACATGGTCATCCTTTAAAGTTGCACCAGCAATCACAGTAAAACATGCTTTACTGTTATTCCTTCAAAACAATTTTTCTATTTTATTACATTTATTTTCACTAAAACACCAAAACTGTAAGACACAACATTTCTGCACCACCAATGCTTTATCTCTTGACAAAGAAAGAAAAATTATTTTTGGTCACCTGTCACATTTGATAGAATAAGAAAGTTCTTACAAAATTATATAAAAAAATTAAGAAAAATTCTGGTATTGCAAAGCATCTCTTACTTTAACTAAATTGTGACAACTTTGGACACAAATTACCAACAACTTTCAAGTTAACATTCAAAATGACTTTAAAATAAGTCTGGTAAACAGACCTTTCTTTTTTACTAACGAGTCTTTATTATCGTATAAAATACTTTCTCACAACAGACAATTTTTTCATCATCATGAATAATGCCAACTATTTAATACACAATTCGGTATATATACATATATATACACATGTAAGTGAAACGTATTATAATTATAGACAAAATAACAAAAGATGCTCGCACGAATGCTAAACCTATTGTGTCTTACAGCTTCTTTTCCCACATTAAGCTTGGGCAGCCAATTCATTTTCTACAGCTCTTCTATACTCTACAAAACCCCCTTCTATAGTATGTACGGTTCCTTCTGTACACACCCACAGCTCCTTGCATACCAACTGAATTAGTTGCTCATCGTGGGATACCAACACAACTCCTCCCTGTAAGAGTACAATTCATAAGCTTTACTCTAGCCTAAGTCAATGTACGAGAAATTATTTACAGTTAAATACAAGATTTTCTTATATTTTATCAGAATTAATTATTACAAATACAACAATAACAATTAATTACACAGATTTTTTTACAATATTGTTATTGTTCTACAGGCCTCATTTTCAAGGATTCCAATCCACAATGACAAAAGCTAAATACGTACGTAGCTTAACTCTTTAAACCTGTAATTTTTTGCACATTCTACTGGAATTATTTACACAATTTCTTAATAATTAACACCATACCTCATAAAACTTCAAATTTCATAATTTTGTGGATAATAATATGTTTTAGATTAGTTTTCAGCCAAAGAGCAAAGAGACAAATGTTATCGGGCACTGTCTGATGGGCATAAAAATCGGGATTTTTGGGGAGACGCTATAAGCGTCCGCTCTGGTTTAATGAGTTAAAGCTAATTGAACGTAGAAACTACAATAATTAATAAACACGTACTACATTTTTTTAAATATTTAAAATGTTGAATAAAAAAACATTATTAATAATCAAGCAAAAATAACATGAAAATTTGTTTGTTAATTTCACCTGAGCTATTATAACACCACAGCAATCTTACCGTGAATTTGTTTAATGCTTCTCCTAAAGCTTCAATGGTCTCAACATCGAGATGGTTAGTAGGCTCGTCAAGTATAAGAAAGTTAGGGCTGAAAATATATATCGCATACAGAGTTTTGTATTAAACCATACACAGTTGAAGTAAACAAGCATGACACTTCAAGAAAAAGTTAAGCCTAACCATCCCTGATTTTGAAATTACAGACAAGAGGGAAGTCAACACCTACTGCCAACACTTGAGGTGCTCTTCTCAAGTTGTCCAAGTTGGCAGTAATATGGCTTAAACCATGTAACCTCAGATCCAGCATGCTAAACACTGGTACCAACTACATGTGCTTGTGACAATGTACAGAGTTGCGACTATTTACTTCAGTGAGTGCTTGTGATATTGTACAAGAAGGTATGAACTGTGATTACTACGGGGAATGCTCGTGATATTGTACAACAAGGTATGACTGATTACTACGGGGAATGCTCGTGATATTGTACAAGGTATGACTGTGATTACTATGGGGAATACTTGTGATATTGTACAAGAAGGTATTACTGTGATTACTGTGGGGAATACTTGTGATATTGTACAAGAAGGTATTACTGTGATTACTACGGGGAATGCTTGTGATATTGTACAAGAAGGTATGACTGTGATTACTACGGGGAATGCTTGTGATATTGTACAAGGTATGACTGTGATTACTACAGGGAATGCTCATGATATTGTACAAGGTATTACTGTGATTACTACAGGGAATACTTGTGATATTGTACAAGAAGGTATGACTGTGATTACTACGGGGAATGCTTGTGATATTGTACAAGAAGGTATGACTGTGATTACTACGGGGAATGCTCGTGATATTGTACAACAAGGTATGACTGTGATTACTACGGGGAATGCTCGTGATATTGTACAACAAGGTATGACTGTGATTACTACGGGGAATGCTCGTGATATTGTACAACAAGGTATGACTGATTACTACGGGGAATGCTCGTGATATTGTACAAGGTATGACTGTGATTACTATGGGGAATGCTTGCATTATCATACTATGGTGTATAATTGTGGTGGCGTATTACAAATGTTTTAAGTTCCAAATTTTACAAGAAAATATCTAAAAGACTAGAAAACCAGACTCACTTGTCACATCCTCTCTTTCACAAATTGCTAATAGCTCTCTTACCGATGTTTTATACTATATTATTTATAAACCAACAATAGAAAGTCAAAGTTTTAAATTATCAAATGAAATATTATATTACCTTGTTTTATGTACAGAGAATAGTCTATATCACCTCCATTTCGAAAAATTTTCTCATGGGAATCACATGGACAGGCTTAGCTCAATTTTTTAAAGGCTCTTATCGCATAGTTAAAAAGCCAGAAAAATTATCATAGTTATAGAACATTGTTTGCTTTGTTCGTGTTATTATTCTGTGTCCTTAGGTGCATTATTTAATTAAATACAAATTATTTAGTGTAGTAGTACAATTAGCATAAAAAAGTAGGCTTAAGTTTCATCGACAGTTGACAGCAGAAAAACAAAAGACCCAGGTAAATACTGTATTTCTTGTTTTTCACGTGTATTCTTTATTTATTACTATTATTATAAAAGTAAATAAAACATAAAAACTGGAAACTTGTTAGGTTAGATTAGGTAAGATAATGAAATATTAAAAATTATTCACAAGATATGTCCAAAAGCAGCTCGTGCATTACATAATTCGATACAGTAACATGAACTACATATTTGCCAAGTGATTTACAACTTGTGTGGCAGAGTTATTACTTAAACAGTTCGAAGGGCAATAAAAAATTTAAATTTAGATTGAAACAAATGTATACTGTTAAGAGCTTTAAGCTAATTAGGTTATATATTTGTGGTTTCCTGTTACAGTTTGCAATCACTCTATAAAGAAATAAAAGGGTAATTTCAAGTTATTTCCTTTTCTTTTTATGGTGGTTACAAGGTCAGACAAATCAACCAACCCCTTAAAGAGTTAAGGTAGAGAAAATAATGGATAAAATATATAGTTTTTCTGGATACAAAAAGTTTAATATTTATTTAGGAGATTTTAGAGATTACACAAATGAAATTTCGAAACTTTCAGATAAAGTATTTTAAATCTTTCCATGAAAATCACTTTGGAGTTGGAGCGGTCAACATTCCAGCTCTATGCATTTGCAGACAAATGTTTAGTAAAAATACATCATTAAAAATTCTGATTTGTCTATAAAAGACTTGTAATGTTTAATCAAAGCTTTGGAAATTTTGTGAAGATACACAAAACATTTTAAAAGTTAGAGTATTAAAACTCTGATTGTTATTTTGGGGTCAGGAGGTCGGTGTAATCTACCAAGCAAACAGCAAGAGGGTTAAATAAAATTCTAATTGATTCTATAGCATGCATTTGACATCATACATTTACTAGAATTAAGGTTTATTTTATAATCCAATATGTACTACAGAAATTAATGATGTATAACTGTCTAAATCATTAAAGATTATCCTTTTATAATCCAATACGCACTACAGAAATTAATGATGTATAATTGTTTAAATCATTAAAGATTATCCTTTTATAATCCAATATGCACTACAGAAATGAACGATGTATAACTGTCTAAATCATTAAAGATTTAAAGATTATCCTTTTATAATCCAATACGCACTACAGAAATTAATGATGTATAATTGTCTAAATCATTAAACATTTAAAGATTATCCTTTTATAATCCAATACGAAATACAGAAATTAATGATGTATAACTGTCTAAATCATTAAACATTTAAAGATTATCCTTTTATAATCCAATACGAAATACAGAAATTAATGATGTATAATTGTCTAAATCATTAAAGATTATCCTTTTATAATCCAATATGCACTACAAAAATTAATGATGTATAACTGTCTAAATCATTAAAGATTTAAAGATTATCCTCTTATAATCCAATACGAAATACAGAAATTAAATATGTATAATTGTCTAAATCATTAAAGATTATCCTTTTATAATCCAATATGCACTACAGAAATTAACAATGTATAACTGTCTAAATCATTAAACATTTAAAGATTATCCTTTTATAATCCAATACGCACTACAGAAGTTAACAATGTATAACTGTCTAAATCATTAAACATTTAAAGATTATCCTTTTATAATCCAATACGAAATACAGAAATTAATGATGTATAACTGTCTAAATCATTAAACATTTAAAGATTATCCTTTTATAATCCAATACGCACTACAGAAATTAATGATGTATAACTGTCTAAATCATTAAAGATTATCCTTTTATAATCCAATACGCACTACAGAAATTAACAATGTATAACTGTCTAAATCATTAAAGATTATCCTTTTATAATCCAATACGCACTACAGAAATTAACAATGTATAACTGTCTAAATCATTAAAGATTATCCTTTTATAATCCAATACGCACTACAGAAATTAACAATGTATAACTGTCTAAATCATTAAAGATTATCCTTTTATAATCCAATACGCAATACAGAAATTAATGTATAACTGTCTAAATCATTAAAGATTTAAAGATTATCCTTGAAAATTCATTCTTTTAATCCTAGTCTTAGAAAAGCCATTGAATTTTTTGTTCACAAAAGTGTATAAACTGTCCATAATTACTACTTACAAAAGCATGGACATTGCAGCAAAAGCAACCCTACTCTTCTGACCACCAGAAAGACTTGCAATAGGTTGCAAAGAAAGATCACCCGTTACACCGAACCTTCCCAATTGTCTTCTATATTCTTCTGATGATTTACCTAGTGAATAATAATTGTATTAGGCTTAGGAAAAGCTAAAAAAAACAACTAGTATCTGATATTCTTGACTAAAATGAGTAGAATAAACCTTTTTCATTGTTAGAATGCTAAATAATAGATGTAATATTTTACCTTGAAAACATTCTTGTCTTACGATAAAATGATCTCCATACAAGTTTAGTTTTTAACCATACAACTTCAGACACAAAGGGATAATGTACGAAAATACTAAATTTTATAAGGGTGAATTGATGAGACACAAGGTAACCATAGTAACTTTCCACCTCTCCTAACTATTTCATTAATATTTATTACTATTTAGGACTTTCTCAATTTGTTGATTTAGTCTTAAGTTTTACTTTAAATGTACAAACAAATCACATTTATAAGTAGATATAAATGTGATTTTTTTAAAACAATCTTACACTTCGTATTTGTAATACCTGTTGAATGTCTCGGGAAAGGCACAACAATTGGCAAAATTACATTAAACCTGTATACTAGTTGACAACTCAAGAACAGGAAGAGAATTATGTATTGATTTGCTTTGATAGAATTTGGTGTTATCAGAGAGAGGACTGGTTATCTTGATGTGTTGTATTATGTCTTTTTTGATTCATATCAGAAGAGTAACAGGGAAAACTGATCTGTTGTCTACAAATGATATGTGGTCACAGTAAACATTTTCTGTAACCACTCTACATATGTACGTGTGGACCACTCTACCATCACTATCCTATCTGTGTGTGTGTGGACCACTCTACCGTCACTATCCCATCTGTGTGTGTGTGTGGACCACTCTACCATCACTATCCCATCTGTGTGTGTGTGTGGACCACTCTACCGTCACTATCCCATCTGTGTGTGTGTGTGTGGACCACTCTACCGTCACTATCCCATCTGTGTGTGTGTGTGGGACCACTCTACCGTCACTATCCCATCTGTGTGTGTGTGTGGAGACCACTCCACCGTCACTATC